AATAAGAAAAAAGAATGTCCGTGACCCAGTAGGGCAGGCAGGCGTATATAAAAGTAATTGCCATGGACTGTGACTTGGGCTGAGGTGTAGGGGGCAAGTATTTTCAGAGAGAGAGAGAAGTGAGCCAGCATGCTGGAGGTAGGGGTTGACAGGAACGATTTCACCAAAAAAGATATTCAAACCAGGTGTTGGAAGATGCCTTTCCAGCAAGAGGGAACAGCATATGCAAAGACACAGGCATGAAGAAGCGGTGGTCCTGGAGGGCTGAGCATCATGGGGCTAGGATGAGGGAGGAAGCAAGGCTGGCAGGGCTGTGTGCACCAAGCAGAAACATCTGGACTCCATCTCCAAGTAGGGAGTGGCTGAAGGGTTTGGGCAAGCAGCAGTAGTGCCAGGCTTGGCCTGAGCAGGTGGGTGGAGGGCAGCACCATGGACCCAGCTAGTCCCGCTTGCAGCAGGAGGAGGCACTGGCTTTAGTCAGGAGAGTGTTGAGTTTGAGGAGCATCTATCTCCACACCAGGGACCAGGAGGGTCTCAATAAAATGCAAGCCCAGCCAGGCTCCTGCCTGAGCCCACTTGGCCCTGTGGGGGCCTGGCCCCTGCAGAACTCTCTATAGTCTTTTCTGGAGTGGCATGCCTCCCTCCTGCTTCTGCACCGCCCTTCTTCTGCCAGACCAGCCCATCCCTTATCTTTTTCTCTCAGCTATCGTTCACATAACATAAAATTCACCCCTTTAAAGCGAACAGATCAGTGGGTTTCAGTATATTCACAACGTGGTACAACTGTCATCACTGTCTAGTCCCAGAACATCTCATCACTCCAAAAAAGAAATCCTGGATGCAGGTCCCCCATTCCCCCCACCGCCCAGGCCCCAGCCCCTGGCGATCACCAGCCAACTTCCTGTCCCTATAGATGTACCTATTCTGGACATTTCCTATCAGTGCAGTCATGTCACTTGTGATCATTTGTGTCTGGCTTCATTCGCTGAGCATAATGTCTTTAAGGTTCATCTGTACAGCAGTGTATGTCCGAGCTTCCTTCCTTTTTTACGGCTGAATCATATTCCAGTGCATGGATGGACCACACTGTGTTTATCCGGTCATCCATCAGTGGACATTGGATTGTTTCCACTGTTGGGTATGAATGACGCTGCTGTGAGGAGTCACATATAAGTTTTCATGTGGATGTATGTTTCTCATTCTTTTGGGTAGATAGCTAGGAGCAGAATTGCTGGGTCATATGGGAACTCCATATTTAACTCTTTAAGGAGCTGCCAGATGGTGTTCCACTCTATCTGTTCTTTGAAGCGTGTCTCTCAATCTGTAAGAGAAAGCTTGGATGATGGTTTCTTACTCTCGATGCCCCGTGCGCTCGGGAGGGCAGCGGCTCCGTCAGTCTTTGCTCAGTGCATTGCCCACAAACATCGGTGGGTGGGCAGGTGGGTGCAGTTCCTCAGATATTTCTCAAGTCCTATGTTGTAGGCCCAGTGCAGGGCACTGCAGTAGTGGGGACCCAGACAGGGGTGGTTCTTGCCCTGGTGGGGGATCTGATGGAGATGTTCGGGAGCCAGTTGGCAATCTTAGATGGTGCTCAGGAGAAAGGACTAGCTGGGAAAAGGAGGCATATATGTGGTCATTTAAGCCTCGAGAGGGAGACTGCCAAGGGCATGAAGGGACAGGGGCCAAGGCAGGGCCCGTGAGGGAGGGGGTGCCATGCAGGAGACTGAGAGGCCCTAGCAGAAAAGTAGGAGAGCAGCCAGGAGCCCAGCCTCTCTGAAGCTAGCTGGAAAAGGATTGCAAGAAGGAGGAAGCATGACTGGCAGTGTGCAAACACCCCTGAGAAGGAAAGAGAAAGGGTGGTGGAGAACACCCAGCAGCTGAGCCTTTCTGCCCCTGTGCCCCCGGCCCCAGCTCACTGGCAGTCTCCTCCCACCCCTCTGCATTGGTTCAGCCTCATAAGCCATGGGCCACCCTACGGGGGCGCAGGGGTGTGTGTGTGGAGGGTGGTAGTGCCAGCAGACACAGGGGTAGGTGGCCCACTGCCCACTCTGCAGGACCCAGGACCCCCTTTAAGTGGCTGAGATGGAGCAGAGGCAAAGGGGACTGACGTTGAGGATGCTGAGAGGCTGGGACCTCAGACTTAGTGGGCCTGTGCATGGATCCCAAAGGCCTGTGGCCCCTCCGCACTCAAGGGCACCTGCCTTGTCTCTGGGTCTCTGTACCCATCCAGCAAGGATGGGATGGCTGTGGGGGCGGTGTCTCATCTGCCTCTTTCTCCTCCGTATCGCTGGGCCTACAACAGTGCCTGGGCTTCAGATGGCCCTCAGGGAGCATCAGGGAAGGAACAGTTGAGCCAGTAAGAGTTGTAGCGCTCTGGAAGGGAGGCCAGGCCACCCACAGAGCTAGGAGGGCAGCAAGCCAGTGTCCATCCCAATCTACTCAGTCCCAAGGGTGGCAAGATCTGGTCAGTGCAGGAAGTGTGCGTGTGTGCGTGTGTGTGTGTGTGTGCATGCGAGAATGTGGGTGTGAGTGAGATGGTGTGGATGTGTATGAGTGTGCATGTATTTGAGTGTGTCTGTGTGTGTATCCATGTGTGTAGGTGCGAGATTGTGTGTGTCCGTGTGTGCATGCACACACAAGAGAGTGGGTAGAAGAGTGCATGAGTGTGTGGGGTGTGTAATAGTGTGTGAGTGTAGGTAAGTATGTGTGGGTGTGTGAGTGTCAATTACATGAGTGTGTTAGTGTGTACAAGGTGTGAGTGTGTGTCTGTGTGTATGTGTGCATCAGGAGGATGGCTTCCAGGGCCAGGCCGTGTTTAGTCTGGCGATGAGTCAAGAGAAAGTTCCTGAGGGATCAGAAGATTCTGCCTCTCAGACTGCAAATTTCAGCCTTATGTATTGAATCAATTTTATTTCCTGTATGAAATTCACATTAATATGTGATAAATAGCTGAACAAACTGTGCTAGTGGCTGGCCCCAGTTGTGTTTTTAAATCGGAAACCCGGAGTTGAACCATTCCCTTGGGCCCTTTGGGGGCAGCACTGGGGCTGCTAATACACCCCAAGGCTTGGATCTCCTGGGCTCAGCAAGGAGACAGTGGGCCCTGACCACTACACTGGCCACATGTAGTCTCTTTCTCTAGAGCCCCCATTGCTCCCCCAACCCAGCCATGCTTAGGAGGCTGCAGTCCTCACCTCCAACACATCTTCCCCACCTCCCAAATCTGACGTTGGGAAACCCACACTGCCTTCCCAGCCCCTTCCTGCCCAGAGAGATCCTTCTAGTTCAGCACTTCTTGTCCACAGCCCATCTCTGCCCTGGCTGGTCACAGACTTTGACCCTGTGGTAAACCCCAGAATGGCCCCCCCGTCCCTCTCTCAGGAGAGATTAACTCCTGGCTAGACGGTGCACAGTGGCTTGGTCTTTGGGCCAGTCATCCCCAGCCAGCTAGGCGATGGGAAGAAAAAGTCTTCCAGTTCCACCAGCATGTGCCACCTAGAGTTTGTACCGCCCTCAGCACCCAACAGAACTGGAGAGCCTTTGGGAGCCAGAGGCAGAACCAGTGGCCCTGAGGAGACACAGAGACCAGGGAAGGGAGGGTTCTGGGCCCCCTACAAGGTGGAAGAAGAATGATGCCCACCTCTCCCATCCCCCATGACAGGGCAGCACAAGGGAAGGAAGCTAGAATCAAGTGCATGGTCAGGGTCAAGCCCAGGGTCAACCCCAGGGGACCTCAGGTGCTGGTTGGGGTCTGAGTTTGGATTGTGAATAGGTGTCCAGTGACCTGATGGCAGGTATGAAATGGTCTACTGTTATCCTGTCATCGTCCTTCTGCTGCCCAGGGTACCGGATGCCCCCTCCCCACGGACTAGACAAGGACCCCTCTGTGGGCTGAGCTGTCAGAGCCAGGTCAAGTGGGGTCCAAGGGCAATAGTGCATTCCTGGTTCAGAGTATGTGGGGGAGTAGGTGGGCATGAAGGAGCCATCCAAAGTGACAGTGAGGGGAGCAGCATTTCCTTCCTGCCTCCATGGCCCTGGAGATCCCCATCTTCTTCGACCCCTGATGCTAGCCTGGGCTTACCAGAAGCATGACTGAGTAGAAGGAACACCACCCCCGGCCCCTGCCTCCGCTCCCCTAGCCATTCCAACCCCTATACCCTCCCACCAGGGCGCTGCCTGCTTCTGCCCACAGCCCCCACACCTGGCATAGCAGAACCCTGACCCTGACCATGCACTTGATTCTAGCTTCCTTCCCTTGTGCTGCCCTGTCATGGGGGATGGGAGAGGTGGGCATCATTCTTCTTCCACCTTGTAGGGGGCCCAGAACCCTCCCTTCCCTGGTCTCTGTGTCTCCTCGGGGCCACCTGGCATAGCAGACTGAGGCCTTGGCCCTCGCCCTGGAATGAATAAGAATGGCCAGCAGCGAGGGAGGGAGCAGTCATTAAGTATCAGGCAATGTTGTCCCATGTTACATGCAGTGGCTTGCTCAGTTCTCACGGCCACCCTCTGAAGTTGGTCCCATATGATCCTCAGTCTTTGGAGACTCAGAGAAGCCAAGTGACTGGCCCAAGGCCACACAGCTGGTTGAGGGAGAGCAACGGTTCAGACCCAGGTTCGTTGGAGTCCAGAGCCTTGGCTTTCGGCCTGCTGCTGAGCTGCCTCTCCTGAAGCCGGCAGAAAGCAAGAGGCTGGTGTTCTTGAAGCCCCCAGGAGGGTGGGGCCGGACCATCCCCAAGAAGAACGGGACAAATGGGCCTGGCGCGCACCCGGCACGCAGCAGCAGGCCGCGGTCAGGGTACTGATGAGAGCCTGTGGCTCTCGCTCTGCAGCCATTGGGGCGGATTCCCAGCACTTTGACGCATCCATCCCTGGCTTTCCAGCCCAAGGCGAGTCGACTCTTCCGGCTGTTGGCAGCAACGGACAATTAACAGTAGAGAATAATTGCTTCTGGCTGTGCCAGCAACCCACTTTGGTTGATGAGACGGGGAAGGTCAGATGCTGAGGCAGGGCTTCCAGGACCGGCCACAGCCAGAGACAGGGACCGAGGCTGTCAGGAAGGGCCACTGAAGCAGGGGCTTCTGCACCCCCAAGGTCTGAGTGACAGGGACCCTTGCCCCTGGCCCTGCTGAAGACTCAGGAGGGTCAAGCTGAGACTTGGCCTTCATGCCCAGGGACAGCAGGACAGCTCGGGCCCTGGCTGTGGTCCTTCTGTCTCTGTCCACGCATCTGGACACAGGCAGGGCTCCTGGTAGCTAGCATCTGGAGTAGAAGGAGCCAGCACGGCCATCCACTAGGCTGGAGTGCGTGGGGATGAGGGGTGCACCAAGTGGACAGACCAGCCCTGGGTGAGGAAACGTACCCAGGTGAGCAGCAGGCTCAGCTGCCCAGAGCCTGCAGGACAGGGTAAGGCACCCCACCCGGTGCTGACCACACGTGTCTCTGGTCCCCAGACAGAGCTGTGACCTGGCCCTGCTCGCAGCTGTTGAGCCTGCCCACCATGGCGAGCCCCACTCTGAGCCCTGACTCCTCATCCCAGGAGGCCCTGTCCGCCCCCACCTGCTCCCCCACCTCTGACTCCGAGAACCTCAGCCCTGATGAGCTGGAGCTGCTGGCCAAGCTTGAAGAGCAGAACCGGTGAGTTGGGGCCTGGGGGATGGGGAGCGGCCTCCGGGGGGGTGGGTGCAGCCTGGGCCCCAAACAGAAGTTCCTGGTGGCCCTCTCACACTCAGAGCTGGGCCTGGCCCTGGGCAAAGGAACAGCTCCCACCAGAGACTTGACAGGGGCCGTGTCCTTGTTGTTCTCTCACTCCTGGATGAACAGACAGTTTCCCCATTCAGATGAAACCTAGGTTTCAAGAGGCCGTGTGAACCTGGCCTTCACCGACTGAGCCTCTGTTGGAGGGAAGAGCAAAGCCTCTGACTCAGCCAGGCCTTCCCACCTTTCTCCTCTGGCCCTCCCCCTGTTTTAAAATGTAGGTGTTGTTATTATAAATCAGATATGGCGAGGACAACAGGTCCAGAGTTTGTTACTCACGGTCCCTAAGAGGTGGGGGGGAGAGGGGCGCCACACCATGTGGGGCTAAACAAGAAAGCACTAGGTCAGTCAGGGGGCAGAGGGAGTGAGGGAAAATGTGAGCAAGAGCCTTTGTTGTGGTTTCTGCGAGGACCAGCAAGGACCAGCAAGGACCATCAAGGCCGTGTGAGCAGGGATAAAACTGGCTCGTTTAAATAATCTCAGCGGGCTCTGGGGTGGGGGCTAGCCCTAGTTGTCTGGCACCTGGCCCTGGGGGGGATCGGAGAAGGGGAGGTAGTTGGTTTGTGGGTTCTAGATTGGCTGGTTTGCATAGGAAAGGGGCACTGGCAGGCAAGTCCTTAACTATCTCTAGGAATCTGCTAGGCCTGCGTGGGCAGTCCCTCCAAGGTCAGCGAGGCCCCAGATGCCAGAGCTGCAGAAACGCGTGGTAATAGAGCCGCTTGCCAGCTAGCTGCCCCCCGGCCAGTGGCTCGCCCTGTCTACACCTGGCCTGTAAAGCACAGATCTTAACGAAACCTGCCCTGCTGGCTTGATACAAGACTAAGTCAGCTCCTATACATGCTTCTCAGCCTAGTGCTAGACACAGAATGGAATACTCGGAAGGCAGACTCTCCAGGGGCCCAGGAAAAAGGACGCCGCTTAGAGAGTTTAGGGCACCGGCCAAGGTCACTGGCAAGAACAATTTAGACCCAATCCCTGGCTGCCTCCGGGCCCCCTGAGAGGAGCAGCCGGGCTCCCCAGGGCGTCTCTAGAGACCAGGGGCTGGGCCAGGAGGTGCCCGCAGGCTGGGCCCGCCTCCACCAGCCCTCCCTGCCCAGGCTCCTGGAAGCCGACTCCAAGTCCATGCGCTCCATGAACGGCTCCCGGCGGAACAGCGGCTCCTCGCTGGTGTCCAGTTCCTCGGCCTCCTCCAACCTGAGCCACCTGGAGGAGGACACGTGGATCCTGTGGGGCCGCATCGCCAACGAGTGGGAGGAGTGGCGGCGCAGGAAAGAGAAGCTGCTGAAGGTGGGCGGGGCCTGTGGGGCTGGGCGGGGCCGGCCGGGCCACTGGGCCTCCCGCCCCGGCACAGGGGTCTTCCAGGGCCTGAGGGTAGAGGGCAGAAGTGGAGATGAGCCTTGCCGGGACACGGGAGGGGCGAGGAGCCGGGTGGGGATGGCGAGGCAAGTAGCTGTCACCTGGCGTCTCAGGTGCCCGTCTGTCTCCTGCCCTGCTCTGTCCCGTGACGGACGGGGGACAGCGCGTTAAGCGGAGCGCATTCTGTTTGCCGCACGGTGGCTCAGCCAGCTCTGGGCTGCGGGCGAGGCAGAGGCCAGCGCCGTCCCGGGGGCTGGCCGGGGTGGCTGTGGGGGAGGCTGCCCTGGGACAGGGTCCAGCCCCGCCTCCTGCTCCCCCTGCCCCACCCCGCTGTCAGGAGCTGATCCGCAAGGGCATCCCACACCACTTCCGGGCCATCGTGTGGCAGCTCCTGTGCAGTGCCACCGACATGCCAGTCAAGAACCAGTACTCGGAGCTACTCAAGATGTCCTCGCCGTGTGAGAAGCTGATCCGCAGGGACATTGCCCGCACCTACCCAGAGCACGAGTTCTTCAAGGGCCAGGACAGCCTGGGCCAGGAGGTCCTCTTCAACGTCATGAAGGTGAGGCCCGGGGCCTTTGGGGCCTCCCCTACCCAGGCCCCTGCCGGGGTTGGCCTGCTGGGGTGGCGGGGGGGGGGGGCGCTGCTGTGACGCACGTGTGTTCCCTTGCAGGCTTACTCCCTGGTGGACAGGGAGGTGGGCTACTGCCAGGGGAGCGCCTTCATCGTGGGCCTGCTCCTCATGCAGGTAGGTGGCTGGGGCCAGCCAGCCTTGGGCTCTGCCCCCAGGAGGTGGGCAAAAGCAGTGTTCCCTCCATCCACGGTCCTCCTAGGGCCGGAGCTTCTCTCTCCATCCGCCTACGACTTCTGCCGGTCTCCAGGCCAAGCCCCCAGGGGGTGGGCACAGGGCGGCTGGCCACCGGCACTGTCCAGGGGCCAGAACTCAGGCAGGGGGCTTAGGTCAGCCAGTATTAGTTGCGTTGAGGATTTCTTCCAGAGAACCCAGCAGACTCAGGAGGCGAGAATGGAGACAGCTGGGGGCGGGGGGACCAGAGGGTGTCTCACCTTGAGCTCTGGAGGTGGGCGGACCTGGGTGGCAAGTCCCAGCGCCACTGTTTTCTACCGGGCGGCCTGTGGCAGGTGACCTCAGCCTCAGGAGGTTTCCCATCAGTAAAACCCAGGTGACGCTACTGACCAGAGGCTTGTTATGAGGGTCCAGGCCGCCCACACAGTCCATGTCCCGTAAATCTAAATGGAACAGAAGCAGGCGAAGCCCTGCACACCAGGGCCATAAGAAGAGCAGCGAGCACGCCCTCCCACCCTGCCTGCCCCCCCCCACCGCAGATGCCTGAGGAGGAAGCCTTCTGTGTATTCGTGCGGCTGATGCAGGAGTACCGCCTGAGGGAGCTCTTCAAGCCCAGCATGGCGGAGCTGGGGCTCTGCATCTACCAGTTCGAGTACATGCTACAGGTGAGCGGCAGCCAGGGGTGGTCTGCACCCACCCACTCCTGTCAGCCTACACCCATGGGCGCTAACCTAGGGCATCCCCATTTCTGTCTCTTTGAGAATCCGGGGGCCGAGAAGTCGCATGCATGTTCCAGCTAAGAAAGGGGTCCTGTGCTGGCGAGGCTGTGGGGTACTGTCCTGAAGGGTGCCTCCAGGGACAGGGCGAGGACCAGCCATTGATGGTGGGGGCTCCTGAGAGCATGGGGCTCCCAGAGCTGCTAGGACAAGAGTGGTCAGGCTGGCTCTTCTCAGATACACCATCGGCCCCCTCCCTGTCTGCTCCCCAGTGGCAGAAGGAGGGAAAGTGTTGTCTGCCTGCGTTTGCTGATACCGGAGAGCAGCCGACTCTGTTTATAAATAGCAGCCCCTACAGGGCCTGCCCCTGGCTGGCAGACGGAGACTGGGCATGCGTGCGTGCGTGCGTGCGTGCACACAGGGCCTGCTTCAGAAGCTGTCGCAGGTGGGGCTGTGTAGCTCGACGTAGCAGCGGGCAGGGAGGTACTGTCGCTTGAGGGGACCTGGTAGTGTTGACAAGCAAGTGGCCCAGGCCACAGAGAAGAAGCCACCTGCCCCAGGCCGGGTAGACAAGGCCATCCACAGCAGAGTAGGGGGACAGGACCAGAGAACTCCTGGCTGTGGGATGAAGCCCCAGGGCAGGTGGGGAGACAGCCCCAGAGTCCACTCTCTCTTGGTGAAGGACATCCAGGGGCTCCTGACACCTTGTCCAGCCCCAGTTTCCCCAATTTCTGTCCCTTTTCAGCAGTCTGAAGTTCAGGCCCATCAGACAGGCATCCTCTGAGAACTGCTGGGAGCCAAGCATGATGGGGCGGGGGAGGGGGGCGCTGTGGGTGGACACAGCAACTGGCAGGTCACAAAATATGGGGTGAGCTGCAGTGGGCTCACTACCCCACCCCCCCGCTCGCTCTCTGGGTGAACTTGGGGAGTTACATAACTACATAACCATCCTCCCCGCCACCACCCCGAGCCCTGGAAGCTCCCCCTTGAGGCAGTGGTGAGGATCCCATAAGCGTTGTGCCAGTGCCTGCCAGTATACCCAGCCCCCCCCAGCTGCCGCTACTCCTGCCACCCCTGCCCATGTCCCCACCTCGTGCCACTCAGAACTCTCGGGTGCTTCAGCCTCACCCAAACACAGTGCCAAGGGCGCACAGAGGAAGGGAGCCACAGGCTGCCCAGGGCGGGCCAGGAAGTCTCCCTGGAAGCCGGGGCACCGAGGCCCCGCACTTGTGCCCAGCAGTCTCTTCATGGTGCCTGGCCTCCTCCTCCCACCCCCTCACTCCAGGAGCAGCTCCCGGATCTGAACACCCACTTCCGCTCCCAGAGCTTCCACACGTCCATGTACGCCTCGTCCTGGTTTCTCACGCTCTTCCTGACCACTTTCCCGCTACCTGTTGCCACCCGTGTCTTCGACATCTTCATGTACGAGGTGAGGACCCCAAACACCCCTTTGTCTCCCAGATACCTGACATGGGAAACAAATCCCAGTCAGGCCCAGGCTAAGGAAGGGCCAGGGCTTGGAGGGATGGGGGGTGTCAGACAGCCCCCCCGCCCCGGGAGAGCAGGATTGGAGACTCACTGCCATCATCCCCTTTGCAGGGCCTGGAGATTGTGTTCCGGGTGGGCCTCGCCCTGCTGCAGGTGAACCAGACAGAGCTGATGCAGCTGGACATGGAGGGGATGTCCCAGGTGGGCCAGGAGGCCGGGGTGGGTGGGATTCCCTTACACCAGCCGCCCCCACCCCCAGCCCAGGCAGGTGAAGTCCTCCTGAGAGATGGGGAAGGGCCTGGCTGCAAGGGCAGAAGGTGCTCCTGAGCATCCTGCTCCTTTCCCATGCTTCCCTGAGGCCTTCCTGGAGAACAAGGCAGGCTCTGAGGAGCAGCCTGGCTACTTGGGGGTCGGGGGGGAAATGGTGGAAGGCCCAGGCTTAGGCCAAGCCCTAGGAGGTCCCCCCCCCCTTCTGCTCCCAGCTCTGGGTCCTCCAGTCTAATGGGGCAAATAGTGATAGCAGCCGAACCACCAGGCCTTGGCTGTGGTTTGGGCCCCGGCAGCTGGGCCAGGCGAGGGCACGGGCGGGAGTGAGGGGGCTGGGGCAGCTGCAGAGGAGGCAGCCGGCTTTCCCGCCACGTCCGCGTCATGCAGGCCCCTCCCCCTGCCAGCATCTTCCAGCTGGTGCTTCGGGGAAGAATGCACAAAGGCCACGGCTGTGTCCATGAACACGGGCATCCATTGTGTGCCGCTGCCAGAGGGGGCCAGCTGGGCTGAGGAGCGAGAGCCAGCCTGGCCCCGAACCGCCGCAAGCTGTGTCCTCCGTTGGGGCCGGTGCTTAACCCTTTGCCGGGGCTCCTGGGGCCACAGGCGTGCAGGCTGACCACCAAGGGGTCTTCCCTCCAGGCTGCTCCCACTGCCCTGACTCCTCACACTCTTGAGCCTCTCACTGCCCTAGGGCAGTGACACGCCTCCCCCCGTCCCTGCGCTCAGATCCCACCACCACCCGGCCTCTGCCCGCGGGAGCTGCCGAAGCCCTGCTTTTCCCCTGCAGATGGCAGTCCTGGCTGCAGGTGCTGCTTCCCCCCAACGCACGCCCAGCCCCGCTTCTCGCACTTACTCGCTCCACACGCACTGACAGAGCGCCCATGGCAGGCTGGGCCCTGAGCTGGGACATGGTGACGCCCCTGGCAGACCAGCTCCTCCTGCAGGGAAGCGGGGTACAGCAGGGCTCTGGCGGCCCCCCGAGTCAGGGCCTGTGTGTCAGGGACGGCCTGTGCCCCCCACAGTACTTCCAGAGGGTGATCCCCCACCAGTTTGACAGCTGCCCGGACAAGCTGATCCTCAAGGCTTACCAGGTCAAGTACAACCCCAAGAAGATGAAGAGGTCAGTACCAGGCGGCCGGGGTGCTGGCAGAAAGGGGTCCCCTAGAGTGGGACGGCGACCACATCGGCTTTCCCCTCTGCAGGCTGGAGAAGGAGTATGCAGCCATGAAGAGCAAGGAGATGGAGGAGCAGATTGAGATCAAAGTGAGTCCCCAGGGAGGTGTGGGGGACAGGGACGGGATGCCCTTGGGAGTGCAGCCTGGCCCAAGCCACGTACCAGCCTGTCCTCAGAATTGGAGGCGTCGTCCCTCCACCCACCTGCCCCTTCGTTCACCAGCAGGCCGGCGTGTGAGCAAGGGCCTACCCCAGGGCTGGAGACCCGTCCCAGTGCTGGAGTGGCAAATAAGGTGGATAGGTCCCTGCCCTCATGGGACCCCCCAGTTATAGTGGGGAGATGGTTGGGGAACCCATAGATACAGAGTATGGACTCCAGAAAGTATTCTGGATAAAAACGTGCAGGAGAGAGGTGGAGCTGACCCCGGGGAAGATTGCTCCAGGCCCACGGAGCCCATGCAAAAGGCTACGCAGCAGCAGGCCTGATGGACTAAAGGAACATCAGGACTAGAGGAGTAGCAGGAAGGCTGCCTCAGTGGGTACAACCCTGAGGTCAGGGCCAGGCAGGAGCCAGGCATGTCGGACAGAGTCCCAGACTCTCCTTCCTCTCCTTCTTTCTGCTTTCATCCTTCCACACGTGATTTTAGTTAGTCACGCAATAAGCATTTATTGAGCACTTACTGTGTGCCAGAGTCACAGCAGAGACTGAGCCCCCCCACCCCAATCCAGCGAGAGGGACAGACACAAACACATACCCCTGGCTTTGTCCTCTTCAGGGACAGAGTCCCACAGACCAGGATTCAAATCCCAGCTCTACCATGGACCAGCCATGTGACCCAGGAAGATTCACCTTTTTGAGCTTCAGTGTCCCCTTCTGCAAAATGGGGATAACATTTGCTCTGCTGTTCAAATTATTATAATTTATTATTTTTTATTTTTACTACCATCACCACTATCAACATCTCCACCTCCTTTAGAAAGGCAGAGGCAGAATCTAGATTAGAATCCGGGTAACCTGCCACCCATACCTGAAAGGGAAAGAGAACATCAGCGTCCTGACCCTGTTTGTAGGTTTTCCAGAAGTAGTTTTGTGTCCTGAGTTTGCAAGCGTCCCCCTTTCTCAGGAATGGTAACTTGACTGATGCACCAGTCCAAACGTGAGTACCTGTCTTGCTCATGCACAGTCATGGGCCTGCCCCCATTGGTGACCATGAGGGCCCAGCAGTAGGTAGGGACACAGCAGACACTGAGACTACACGCCCCCCCTGGAAACTTCCCCTCAGAGGAGCCTGAGAGCCCATAGGCCTTAAAGGATCCAGGCAGACGCCTTCACCCATGGCCCTGCCCTTTGCTCTTTCCCTTTTAGCCTGTTTCAAAACGTACCTGGAATTTGCTTGAATCAGGTGTGGTACGGTGACAGACACGGAGACAACACACAGACTGCCTTTGAAAGAAGGGTTTATTACTCACAGTTCCGGACAGGAGGGGGCACGCCCCACCGTGCTTGGCCACATGGGGAAGCACCGGAAGCAGAGGGCAAGAGGGGCAAAGCATGGGCCAGTGCCTTTACTGTGGTCTCCACAGGAAGGAACGGGCAAGGCAGGGTAGTCAAGTTGGGGTTGAGGGTTGGTTCCTTTGAATAATTTCAGGAAGCTGCGGGCTACAGTGGGGTCCCGCGTTGTCCTGGGGCAATTTAGGGCAGGGAGAACATTGGGCTTGGTGTGTGAGTGAGACAGGCAAGGTGGGTGGGTGTGGGCTCTGGGTTGGCTGGTTTGCATCTGAAAGGCGCACTAGCCTGCAGGTGGTTTGCTGTCTCTAGGAATTAGCTAGTCCTGGGCAGGGCAGTCTCTCCAAGACTGGCCAGGTAGCTGGATGTCAAAGCATCAAAAATACAGGAAAAAAAAAAAAAAGCCTGATGTATACCTAGACCCCGGAGTTCTTGCTCACTCCTTGTCTCGTTTTCCCTTTGGAGTAAGCAGGAGAGAGGAGAGTTGTTGCTTGGGCACATCAAACTCAAGGATCTCTGCGGTTATGCAGTGGTGGGCCAAGGCCAGAGATGGGGCAGAGCGATCCAAGGGTCAGGGGTGAGGATCTGGACTCCACATTCCGGATGTGGGGCAGAGACCTGTGCCTGAAACAGCTCTAATCCAGGCAAGCTGGGGGGCTCAGACAAGACAGTGCCCCCCTCTGATTCAGTTTCCCCATGCATGACATCACTGAATGACTATCAATCACGTCTGTGATTTTCTCTGACTGCAGATGCTTCCCAGGAGTGTTCTGGGTGTTTCCATCACCTTCTTCTTCCCGGAGAAAAACCAGAAAATGTTCTCTGTAATCCACAGGGAGGCAGGGCCCTCATTAATAATGGATGAATGTGGGGTCTCAGGGCTTCAGGAAGATGCCGGATCTGGTTGGTGTTCATTCAGCACACACTTAGGATCCAACTATCTGTACCTGCTCCTTAAAGGGTACATAGGTAGAGACTAAGATGCAAGGCGTATATAAACCTCACTTTGCTTAAAACCAAATCCATCAGTGTAGGGGAGAAGGTGAAAAGCAAAGCAAGCTGCTTCCAGAACCCCAGTCGGGGTTCTGAGTACAGCTGACTTTTGGTGGGTCACAGAAACATAGCCGTCCAGCTGAAGGAGGGCTGTGTGTTCCGCAAGACCCCCTCCCCTGGACCCTAACTCTGAGAACAGTGCATTCTGGTGCTGGAAGTGAAGCAGTGAGGGGAGGGAACGGAGAGGCGCAGAGGAAGGCCTGCCCTTGTGGGAGGTACCACACGTCTCCCCAGGAGACTCCCCAGGAAGGCGAGGGTGCTGACTACTGACCCCTGATACACAGTGCATACCCATGAAAGCAATCACTTTATGAACCAAGGTTTGTTTAAAAAAAAAAAAAAATCTAATGGGCCATGCTATATGGGAATTGGCCCTGTTTCCTGGGATCACTGACCCAGAGCATCTGATGATGGCTCTATCTGGCCTGGAGGCAGCCTGGCCCTTCAGGTATGGCAGTGGGAGTGGGGTTCTGACACACTTCCCCCCTCTCCCCACATAGAGGCTTCGGACGGAGAACCGGCTCCTAAAACAACGGATTGAGACCCTGGAGAAGGTGAGGAGCGTGGCCACCAGCCTGTGGCTCCAACTCCTCCAGGCCCCAAGCAGGACCCAGCAGCCAGAGGGCCAGCCAGCCCCCTGCCCGGGCCTGGGCCCCACCTTGAACCAGCGGCCCCGAGGAGCATGGTGCACATCCCATGGCCCCCCCGCCCCACAAGCCCCACTGAGATTTGGGCTGCCATAGAACCAGGGGGCATAGGGCAGCTTTGCCTGGGATTGGGTGTGAAATTATAACCCAGTTAACTGCAAACACGGGTCCCTCCTGGGCTGTCTGCGTGGGGGGAAGGAGGCAGACTGCTGCTTTGACTGAGGTGCCCTGAATTAGGCCACAGGCTCCCAACCCTGTAATTTGGAGGCCTCACCCTCAAAAGAAAGGACGTAGAGTAGAGGAGGGGCGGCCTTACCACAGGCGCCGTGGTGGGGCGCCACAACCTTGACCCTGGCCCCCAACCTGTTTTTAAAGATGGGAGTAAAGGCGGGGTGGGGGCCCCTCTCCAACTCTCACTTGGCCCCCGCTGCCCACAGGGAGTAGTCATCCACCGGTGGGTACTGCCCTGGCGCCAAAGCCTCGATTCTTACTCCGACTCCAAGTTAAAACACTTCCCCGTGGCCCGCCGCTGCCGCCCCATCCCTCAGCCTCCAGGGATGCGCCTCCTCCTGCGCGGAGTTTGCCGGGCCCTGGAGGGGGCAGCTGTGGGCACCCCCACCTGCCCACCCACACACAGATCCCTCTCCAGGACGGAGCTAGCCTTGGCTTTGCTCTTCCTCCGGGTCCTTCTCCTGCTGGTTCTTTGGTTCTCTGGTCTCACTCCTCTTTCCCCTGCTTCTAGAGATAGTCCACTGCGTTAGTGACAAGTGGTTCTTGTCTGTCTCTCCCCCTCTCCTGTCCCTGCGCCTTCCGCTCTGCCTCCTCCCCCTGTCGCTCGGAACCCCCTCCGCCGGGTAGGAGAGCGCTGCTCTGGCTGATAGGTTAATCCAGGTACTGTAGCTTTTCATGCCCCTCTCCCATGTCCGTCCTGGTCCCTGCACACGACAGCCAGGAACCGCCTCTTCCTTGGCCGCTGCCAACCCGGGGGCAGAAGGGGGCAGGCCTGGCACCATGCATGGGGGTGGCTGGGGACCGCTTCTCAGGGGAGACAGAGGTTTCCCTAGGGGGGGAAGAGGGGTGTGTGTGTGAAAGCATGGTGTGTGGGGGTAAGTGTGAGTCTGTGAATGTCTGTACATGCACGTGGACAGAAAGCTTCCTCCCTCCAGGGGACACAGGTGGGGATCCTGAGGCTATATCAGCCACAGGCCCTGGTGTGTGCACTGCGCTGAGCCTCCCTACCCCACCCCCCACCCCCCCACACACACACGCACCACCCCTTCTGGCCCCTCACGCTCCTCTCCGCTCCTACCTGCAAAGCCTGCCATCTTCCCTCACCTGCTTCTGCTGCTGCCTCATCTCGAATGGCTTTATCTGGAAGCTTCTGCCTGCCACCTGGTGGCTCCGAGCCTGGAATGGGGGTACCCGAATTGGGTGGGTTGAGGGAATGAGGCGGGGGGGAGGGGTCTTAGCCCTGGGTAGATGGAGGCCCCAGGATTCAGGACTGGAGAAGGTTCCAGAAGAGCTGTACTCCACCTGCCAACCCTGCTCTGAGGGCCGGTCCTGAGTCCCCGGGGCCTCTGCTGCCTCCAGACCCCCACCCTCGCCAGTGGAGCCCCGCAGCTGCTGTGCCTCAGTCCCGAATAAGGATGGGTTCTCCTCACCTGGGACAGAGGCTGGGAGCCAGGAGCCGGCAGGGGAAGGAGCTGGCCTCGGCCCCACCTTGGGGCCCCCGTTCTCCATTTAAGCCCCACAAAGCCTGGGCCTGGGGTGGGTCTGTGCTTTCAGGCTCGTCCCCGTGTCCTGTTCCTGCCTGCCCCCACCCACAGGCCCAGACCCGGTGGGGCGCCCCATCCCAGGCTCTGAGTGCGGGAGGCCTTGCCCCTCTCCCACCCCATGGCCGCCCTCTAGGGGCCTCCCCCTGCGGTGGGCCCGAGGCAGGGCCTGGAGTGTGAGCAGAGGGTCATGGCCTCCCGTCCTCACTGTGCTCAGGGGCAGGTGACACGGGCGCAGGAGGCCGAGGAGAACTACGTCATCAAGCGGGAGCTGGCCGTCGTGCGGCAGCAGTGCAGCTCAGCGGCCGAGGACCTGCAGAAGGCCCAGAGCACCATCCGGCAGCTTCAGGAGCAGCAGGTACCAGGCCAGGTGGGCAGGGCTGCGCGCCACACCATGGCTCCCCCCTTCTGGATCTGCCCCCATACATCCTGTGTGGGGTGCGGGGTAGGGGAGGAGAAACCCAGAGGGAGTGCAGATTCTCCCCCAGCCCTGCCCCCAGGTTGGGGAATCCTGGGGTCTCCATTCCGCCCCCAGCCAGTGAGGTGTCTGACCAGCCACACTGAGAACGAGACAGCATCAGCACAAGGGCCCCTGGGACCCAGGCTCTACCTGCAGGGCCCCCTCCCTCAGCTGATGTGGCTGTGACTCCTTAGGGGAGCCCTGGTGTGTCCCCAAGGTCGGAAGGGCTGTCAGGCTTCCCCAGGGGCCAGCCATGCAGGGTGGGAGCTAGCATGAGAGACAGAGGAGGGGGTTCCCTGCTCCAGAGCCCAGCACTTTGCCCCCATAAGAGGGTCTGGTCTGTGCCCACCACTCTGAGCTGGCAGAGTGGGGGTGAGGGGCCGGCCCAAGTTGTGCTGTGGAGTCAGGAACTCGGAATCATGGTGGGAGGGCCCTCACAGGCCAGAGCACTGTGAAGAGTCCACTTCTCCAGCACGTGGCTTTTGGGATTTTCCTTCAGCTGTACCCAAGCCACCTTCTTATTTGATGACCTGCCAGTGGCAGCGTGGCCAATGGGGAAACCAAGGCTGGGCTCATCCCAACCTTGGCACGATGCCCCCTTTGAGGCCGGGGAGACATTCCCCTGGCACCCCCGAGCTCCGCCTTTAGGGGCATCCCTCACCTACCAGCCAGGTCTTCACTGTCGAGCTGTTTTGAAATGGGGGTGTAATGAGAGGAGGGAGGTGGGGAAAGAGGGGCAGGAGCACCATAGCCCTGAGCCCCACCCTGCTCCCACCCCCACCGTGTGGTTAGGCGCTGACCACACAGCAGGGAGGGGGCCCAATCCTGGGAACCAGCCCCTGGCATCCCTCCGGGGGGCAGCCTGAGGCCATGGAAGGATCCCTTCAGAAGGTCCCCTCATTGTGGCTTTCCCAGGAAAGAGGCTAAGCCAGGATGGCGACACCCCTGGGCACAGAGCATCAGAACCCCCACGATGGGGCTCAGCTCTCTCCCCACGAGGTCAGAAGGCACAGGAAGGGGGTCCAGGGTTTCTCCTCACCCCCCACCCTGCCTCTACTGGCAGCCTGAGCCCCTCTGCCAGCCCGGGGGCTTTGAGGAGGGGGGGCCAAGGCCTGGGCCCACAGCCGGTTGGCAGGAAGGCTGCATACCCTCCAGCTGCCGCCTGGGGCCCGACACAGCCCTCTGCCCGCCTCCAGGACAACCCGCGCCTCACCGAGGACTTCGTGGCCCACCTGGAGACTGAGCTGGAGCAGTCAAGGCTACGGGAGACCGAGACGCTGGGGGCTCTGCGGGAGATGCAGGACAAGGTTCTAGACATGGAGAAGGTGCGACCGGGTGGGCAAGGGGGCAGGCACTCGGGGAACGGTGGAGAAGGGGAAGTGGAGGTACTGGGTACACTTTGGGAGGTACATGACCAGGCCCTGGTCAAGAAGGGGTGACCAGGCAGACCCGCAGGGCACATCAGACCACCCCTGCTCTGCGGGTCCCCCAAGAACCTAGGGAACCTCCCTGACACATTGGTGCCCCGCTTCCTCCCACATGGTCACCACCCAAGGTTCTGGGCCTACGGGAAGTTGGGCCCCTCACCACAGACCCTCCTGAGCCCCGGAGGTATACACACATGTCAGGGCACACACAAAGCAGAATGACTCTTCAAGGGGCACATCTGCCCTTGTGCCCCAGGCACAGGGCCAGCAGTGTGGTGGCTTTCATGGGCTTCTGGGCAGACAGTCCCACCCGTGTGTGTCTCCCTCCCCGGGCTCCAGGATGGAGGTGGGAGGGAAGGCCAAGGCCCATCAGCGTTGCTCTCCCCTTCCCCACCCCCATGGAGATACCACCCAGGGGGTGCACTGGGACCACCCTCTCCCACCTGCTACCCTAAAGGGCGGCCGCAAACCTCCTGGGCCCTCCTCAACTGTTGTCACCCTCACTCCATATTGACTCAGCTCCCACAAAGCCACCAGAAGAGAGGTGCCCCGGCCAGCAGAGGGCAGCAGGACCCACTCACACAAGGCAGGAGCCATGCCCCACCTCCCTCAAGCCTGCACTATGTGGGGTGCCCTGCCAGGTGGGGTGACTGCCCCATCCATGGTCTTCTCAGTCCCCATCAGCCGGCCCAGAGCTGGGCTTTCCTCCCACCTCCCTCCACATCAAAGGGAAATGTGCACCAGGAGATCCTGCCACCATCCACCCCCCCCCCAACTCCCAGGCTCAAACAAGGGTCAGTGAGGACCTCCAGCAGCAAGCCAAATTTTGATCCAAGAGGCTGGAGCACAAGTCCCTCATCACTAAGCCCTTGGAATGCTGGGCCCGGGCCTATACTGGCCCTCAGCCCATTCCAGGGAAAGGGGCTGCCTAGCCTGGTCTGGGGGGGTGGGTAGGGGCAAGGAGCAGGGACAGGTTGCTGCAACCCATAGTCTTCTCAGCTGGTGCTGAGGCAGGTCGCAAGTGTGATCATGGGCCCCAGGGGGCGGATCTCAGATTCCCAGGTGGGGAGGCCCCCCCTGCCCTTGCCCAGCCTGCCTGGTGGTATTAGCAGTAACATGTGTGGAGAACGCTGGCGTTAGGGGGTCACCCTGAGACAGTCCAGTGAGAGCAGGTGCTGTTCTTGACATCCCCTTTGCAGGCAGAATTTCTGAGGATCTATCCCCGGGGCCACATGGGTGGGGTCTGCTCCGCATAGGCCTGGGCCGCCCGTCCGGTGTATCCTGGGCTCCGGGGCGCACCCTGTCCCCGCGGGGCTGGCGGAGGTGGAGCTCAGAGGAGACGTGGCGGAGGGGTCTTGGTCCCGCGGTCAGGGCCGCCTGGCCGCGCAGCTCCCCTGGGCTCTGACCGCCTTTCGCCCGGCAGAGGAACAACTCGCTGCCCGACGAGAACAACGTGGCGCGGCTGCAGGAGGAGCTGAAGGCGCTCAAGGTGCGGGAGGGCGAGGCCGTGGCCTCGGCGCGGGAGCTGCAGCTGCAGCTGCAGGAGCTCTCGGACACCTGGCAGGTGAGGGCCCTAGCCCGACGCACACGCGAAGTGGCCCGTGCGGCCCTCGGGGCCGGAGACGGACCGCGCACCTCTCCCCCCAGGCCCACCTGTCCCGCGGCGGCCGCTGGAAGGAGTCCCCGCGGAAGCTGGTCCTGGGCGAGCTGCAGGACGAGCTGATGAGCGTGCGTCTGCGCGAGGCCCAGGCTCTGGCCGAGGGTCGCGAGCTGCGGCAGCGCGTGGTGGAACTCGAGACGCAGGTGGGCCCGAGCGCCCGCGCCCCGGGGGGGGGGGAGGGGTCGGTGCCGGCGGCCAGGCCGTGACCCCCGCCGCCGCCCCCAGGACCACATTCACCGCAACCTGCTGAACCGCGTGGAGGCGGAGCGCGCGGCGCTGCAGGAGAAGCTGCAGTACCTGGCGGCGCAGAACAAGGGGCTGCAGACGCAGCTCAGCGAAAGCCGCCGCAAGCAGGCCGAGGCCGAGTGCAAGGTGCGCCCCCGCCC